GGGTTTCTGTGCTCTGATTTAGTATTTTTAATGACACTTGAAACATTCAGAGTGTTCAAAAAGCATTTTGGTAAACATATATGCAAATGTGTGTGCTTTTGTCACCTTCAATGACAATTTGATGCCTTTTAGCTTCCTTCTACTCTTCCAGGACACTTATTTGTCCACAAGATGTTGAGTGCCCTCTTACATGTGATGCTGCTGAGCTTGGATAAAAGTTTGTCTGCCTTGTGTGAGATTTTTGTGTGGATGAGGAATGCATCACACTATTTTGAGTTCTACTCTGGCACTCTGTTCCTGCTCTTGTACTCTGTCTGCACTGGATACATTCCTCAACATTGTTACCTCTCTTACTACTGTTTTTCTTCTGTAACTTAGCAGCAATAGTTCCTTATAGCTTTAGCTTTACCTGATTTCAACCATCATGATTCTCATATTTGTAATATTTTTAACTATCAATGGGGAGACTTTATGGTTTAGCTGAGGATCTGCACCAAGTGACTCTTTTATATCTATCTTTATTCTCCAGTCAGCCAGTAAAGGGCAGTAATTGTTACCAGGTGTAAGCACTCAGATGAGCAAAGCTGCAGCCTAATTTTAAAGTACCTTACACTCCCTGTACCTCACTATTACCTTCCTGTAATAAGGTCATGAATGACTTTGAATGCCTGAGAAAAATGAGCCTTGGATGAGATGTATTTTACAATGAGTCCTGGTAAGCATCTTGCTTTGGTCTCTCTACTGTGTGCTTAAATGTGTATTCCTTTTTTAAATGTGGCTGCAGTGCTGATTTCCATTAAGATAAGTATTTATATGTTCTTTGGAAATAAATAAATATATATAGTCATTTGGATGGAGAGATGTCTAAATTTACTGAAGATATGGTAATTTTGCAGGTAACTGTTGGGCATCATTTTCATAATTGTATTCTAGTAGGGAGAAAAAATGGACTTACTTCTCTTGGTTAGTTCCCTTTGAAAAAGCAGAATAAAGTTTTCCAGCTGGTACTTAGGAGGAAATATTTTTGTCCTTATGCAAAACATTATTTATCTCAAGATCAGTGATAAAGAAGGAAAGCTTTGTAGTAGCAGGCTTGGTTGTTTTCTCAAAGCAGAACTTGACTGATTGTGTTTTCAGTGTTCATGTAGGTTTTATACTGGCATGTGTCTCTGCTTATTTCACAAGCTTTTTTAATTTTCAGTCTCAAGAGTATGAGAGGCTGAAAATTAGGTGTGCAGGGTTTCAGGTGAGAGGAATTTCAGGAATGCTCACACTATTAGTTTTCTTCCACAAACTGGGCATTTGTAAGTGAGCTTTCATGGTGTTACTTCTGTAATCCTTCCAACCTGTGCTATAAGAACTATTTTAAGTTTTGGAAGATCTTTTTGGACTCTCCATATTTTTTATGGCAATGTCTGCTACAAATATCTTAAATAATATTCTTGCATGGTTTTTTATCTTAGCATCTTTTGCATTCAGTCACGTGGTTGTTGGCACCTCCTTTGTGAGCAGTGATTTCCACATACAGTCAGCTGCTTGTGGAATACTTTTCTAATTTATCTGTGCTTACTTTTAGTTTTCCTTGATTGAAAGTTACTTTTAAAATACAAATAGCATTATAGGAGTTTTAAGCTGCTTTCCAAGGATATGGTTTGTTATTGTTGTTTTTAGTATCAGTTTTCCTTTTTAATACCTGGTTGCTGATATTAATAATATTTCTGAGAGTGGTAAAAAGAGCCTGATAAGTAATATTTGTAGAAAATTAAATTACATAAAATGGACAGAAAAGCCTAGAAGGCCTGTCCTCATGACAGTTGCAGCATAAACTTGTAAGTTTAAATGAATTGTTTTCTCTGCTTCATACCTATTCCCCTCTTTGTCCACCCAATCATAAATAAAACTGATTTTAAGAATTCTGAGTGCTCTAGAAGAACAGTTACAGTAGAAGAGAAATCAAACCATTTACAGAAGAGATGTACTTTTTCGCTTTGCTGTGACAGGAAGTGTTCTTGTTGTGGATGTGTGCAGAACAAATCTGGTTATAGAGAGGTTATTTTGTTCTCACACTGCTGTGGAAAATCTGGTTGGCTGTTGTGACAGATACGATCATAAATGTGTAACCCTGCCCTTATTACACAACTGGAAAACAGAATTCACAAGTTTGACCTCTGTTAATTCTTAAGTCTAACAGCTTTTTACAGTGGTTGCATTTTCTCTTTCCCATTTCATGCTTTTGTTTTCACCAGCATTTTCAGTTTTCTGATGCTTTACCTTTGGATTTCTTTTTACTGTATTTGAGTACCTAAATTTTACTAAGACTGAGAGGAATTTAGTGTTTGAGTGTAGTGTAGGAGTGGTATTTTTTTGGTTTTCTGAAGGTTTTTAAAGGCTCTCCTGAAGTTTGAAATGCCTGTTAAATGCTCCATGCTGTATTATGGATACCTCAAACTTGTCATCCTGTTTAAATACCGAGGGGACATAACTTGGCTGGTGAAGTCCAGTTAGGAAGTACAACATTCTGTCAGAGTGAAGTGTCAAATGGAGTTATGCTCAAACTAAGTATTTCATTCACTTCTCAAGACACAGAAGGTAGTGTTTCAGTGTTGACTTTTGGTGGGTTTTTGGGGTTTTTTGGCAGCTGAAAGATTGGAAGCTTTCCCTCAGTGTTCCAAGTTGTCTCCAAGCTGTTTTGAAAGGATGGTGTGCGTCTCACAGAGATAAGGGAGAAGGAGGGTTAACTCTTCTTTGCATTAATTTGTCTGTATCTATATAAAAAGAAATAAACTAGTGTGCCTTTTAGCCTTCTGTGCTATGGAAGTGTAATGAACTGAACTGGATATTGGAATTGATTATTTTATCAGGAAAAACCCAAAAGCAGCATTTATGATATGTGTTGTCTGTCTGAGGGCTCTTTCTTCATAGAAGAAGAAAATAAGAACACTTTAAGGCTTGTCTGACTATGGTCTGCCTCATGGGTTTGCCTAAGTGTTCACCCAGAATATGTCCTTGTCTGTAGTACTTCCCTGTGCTCCTCACCACTGTGAATCTAGTTTTTTTCAATTTTTCTGGTTTATCCTCTGTTCCCTTTTGGGGTTTTGGGTTTTTTCAACTTGTAACAAATACAGAGTTATACTTCATTAAACTCTGTGCTGTAAGATGTGAGCAATATGATAAGTTAGGCTATAGAGTAATCCAGTTAGGAATATATAATTTATATTGCACTGGTTACTTCTCATAAGCTCTTATAAAAGTAGAATTTCATGAATTGCAGTTCCATGAGGAATTTAGTTCCCATGTAAATTGACTGGAAATTAAATATTTCTTAAGTTTATGAATCTGTAGTTTTGTTATTAGGTATATGAAAGCATTTAAACTGTTTCCTTGCAAAAATAAGCCCTTTAGGATTAACAGTGCATGGTATATTGCACTTTTCTCTGCCACTTCTTAGAGGGAAAAACTCAGGTTTGTGTAACTTTAGGGATTTTTCCCCTCAAAACTTCTGTTTTCAGCATACATTTGTGCATTTTGTTGGTGAAGTTAAGCAGACAGTGTTCCATAAGGGAGTGGGAAAGGCAGGGAGTGCTGATGTGCTCTGCACTCCTCTGGGGTTCAGACTAGTGCTGTGCTGCTATTGCCACTGGAAATGGGGATCTTTTTCTTCCTCTTCCTGTTCCCAAGTTCCCTCAGAATGCCTGTGTGCCATGGGAATAGCTGGGGCAGTGAGTAACCAGGAGCACAGCGTGGTTGCTTTCTGCAGTGTGTTTAAGTATGTCCGTGCCCTGTGCACTCCCCGCGTTGTGAAAGTTCCCCCACACCTGGAAGCCGAGGATTTGCACTGGCTACAGTTTCACTATTGCTGGGAGCTGGCAGACGGCAACAACCCCTGTTGGGCAATAGAGGGATGAGGCAGCTCCGTGTCAGCTGCGAGTCTGCACAGCTGCGCTCAGTTACGGGAACTCTGGGCTCAAGTGGGATCTCAGTGCTTGCTTTGTTAAGGTATAACGTGTCCTAGGAACACCAGATTTTCTTTGCAGGATAATTCCAAATCTGACTTAAGTGGTTTCTTGATTGAGCAAGGACACTTCTTCATAATCTTTTTTGTTCCTTTTAATTGGAAGAAGGGCTCAATTGAAAGTGAAACACGGTGTAAAGATCAGATTTGGAAATACTTTCAAACTTTGCACTCTCTAGCAGAACTGCCTTCTCCCTACCCCTTCTATTTTTCTGCAAATTTAAGAATCTTCAGAACCATTCAAGGTTTTAAATATTGTCTAACTTTAACTGTTGTTTATTATCCAGTGAGTACTATTATTTTAGAACTTTGTCAGAAAAGAGACTATTCTGTTGCCAGGTGATCTGAATCATAATGATCCATTGGGAAAGCAAACTTGCAACAAGTATGACAAATCAAGTAGTCATGAAAGAAAAGGGAGAAAAAAGTTTGCATTAAGGCAGTTAGAGAATTCAAATTTTAAAAGAAAACACCAACCTACTAGAAAATCAGGGTATTTTACCAATGCCTGATTGGTTTAGCAGACAAAATATTTTTGAAACAAGACAGAACACATATGTTTTAGTCTGCATTAAGTGAATCAGTAAACAGAAGTAGCTCACATAGTATTTTGGTGAACTTTAGTTTAATGCATTTGTTTTATTTCTCTTTACATTTTCATAGTGCTGGAATTAGAATACACCAATTACTAAGAGCGAAAGATAATTTCTAGGTGTTACAGTAAATTTATGTCTCTGAATCACTGGGCTAAGAAAGAGCAGTTCTTCATTGCTGAAGTGCATTTTTTGGTCTGTGAGATTAAAAAGCTGTGTTAAAATGTACATGTCAAGGTTTGGGTACTGTGAATGTCACAAGCATGTGTTTATTTGAAGTACTAACTTGAAGAAGAATTAGAGCAGAACAGCGCACGTTTAACATGCCCACGTTTCAGTACCAATGGGTTCCTGTCGGACATGACTTTCAGGGGTACATTTTCTTTGCTCCCCAGGTGTGAAGCACAGAAGCATGCTTTCCCCTGAGCCTCACACCCCCAGCTGTGATACAGAATGTCTCTGAGTGAGAACAACAGCGTGGTGTTTGCCTATGAATCCTCAGTGCACAGCACCAATGTACTCCTCAGCCTGGACGATCAGCGAAAGCAAGACATCCTTTGTGATGTTACCGTGCTAGTGGAAGATCAGCGATTCCGGGCTCACAGAGCCGTGCTTGCAGCTTGCAGCAGTTACTTCCTCTCCAGAATTGTGGGCCAGGTGGACGCTGATCTTATCATCACTTTGCCGGAAGAGGTGAGTGTCACTCCCTCCTGCATTCTACCTGCCCGTGCTTCTAATCTGCTTAGTTCAGTTCTCTCTTATGGGAGGCTGCTTTTAACGATTTAAGAGCTGAAAGACACCAGCCCACAATCTGGGGTACCAGAAATATTTTTTAAATCAAGTATTTAATATATATTATATTGTAAAGACTAACTGCTGTCATCTTGGTCTGGGGTCTGTTGGTTTTTTGCCAGTGTTTTTATTCTTTGATTTCATCTCAAATAAAAATTAGATAAATGACTACTGTAGGAGTTGCTTTTCTAGGTCAGTCACACTAAGTCTTTCTACGATTTTTTTCTTGCTTGAGCATAGGTAGCCAGAAATGTGTAAGAGAAAGTGAAAGGAGTAGAGGGTTTTTCCCCTCTTGATCACTGCAGTTTATGCAGTATTTCTCCCTTAAATCAGAAAGAAGGTACAGTTTTAAAATACATTGTATTTTTTCTTTCAGTTTCATTTATGAATGCCACTTATTTGTAAAGCCACTTTGGTTTTGTTGATGTTTTGTTAATGTTTTTGTTTGTTATGTATGTTAATGTTTGTTGATTGTTTGTAATGTTTTTGTTTTGTTAACTACACTAAGTCTGAAGACATGTTGACAGCATATGGATAAACTGTCTTTTACATTCTACTTCCCCACATTATGAAGGATGAATTAATGTGGTGGTGTAACCTCCAAAGCATATTTCAAATGCTATTTTAAGAATTCTTTAGGAAGGTCTTAAGGGTTTACAGAGAGTTTTAAAGGACTGCTCTCTGTGCAGCTCGCATCAACTTCACTTTGTGTTGTGTTCTTTAAAAATAACATACCAAACAGCTACTAAAAAAAACCAAAGTAAACAAACCCTCAACTGATTCTTGAATTGCATGAATAATTCATTATTTTGCTGGCAGAAGGATTCAGTGTAGTTAATGCATTGATATAGTGCTTTATTTAACATAAAATACTGGTCATTTCAGTAAAGGCAGGGAGCAGAGTGTGGACTTGAGTTTGAGTATTAATAGTGGACATACTGCTTTATTGTTCATTTGCAGAGAAGAGGCTAAAGGAAGTGTCCTGTAGTTGGTAATCTGTTTGTGGGATCTGTTTGTGGCCTTCTACTTGATTCCTTAGACATTGTTTCATGTGTAGAAAATCTTGCACAGTTTCTAATGATCCAGTTTTTGTTTATCTCTGGGTTCCTTGATAGGCAACTGTTGTGAAGACATAAATGTTCAATTAAAATCACTTGCTCTAAAGGGGCTTTAAACTGAGAATTCTGTTTGGTGTACCATTTTTGAGTGCCTTTCTTCAAATCTATGGGAAGAAGAAAGGAGTAGGTGGCTGTAGTGGTCAAACTCCATTTCTTCAAAATTTTTGCACAAATGGTACATAAGACTAAGTGATTAACAGTAATTGCTCTTCAAAAACTACAATTAAATACCAGCATCATACTGTAGAGTAATTAGTATACAACTTGCTTTGAAATATATCTTTGTGAGGTTGGAACCTCGTTACTGATTTTCAGTATACAGCAATATTTTCTGCTTTAAGCACTGCGTTGTGAGAACATTTTATTAAGAGACAGATCACAGTAAGGAAAACTGTCACAAAATGCGCATGATAAAATTGTATCAGAGTAATTGTTTCAGAATGAGTTTGACCAGGTTTTCACAATAGAACAAGTCTGCTGCTTTTGTCCTGTACTCTGTCCTGCTGGCAAGCCAGGTAAATTTGTGTATTTCTCTGCTTAAACCCAAATTGACCATACTAATCTTTTTTTTTCATTTGTTTTTGTAATAGGTAACACTTAAAGGATTTAGTCCTTTGCTTCAGTTTGCATATACAGCAAAACTTGTTTTAAATAAAGACAATGTGTCTGAAGTTTGCAAATGTGCAGAATTTTTGGGTGTACGCAACATTGAAGAGTCCTGCTTTCAGTTTCTCAAATTCAGATTTTTGGACTTCAAATTGGATCAGCAGGAATGTCCTAGGAAGAAGTGTTGCACACAGCATTGTCAGAAAGCAAACCCTAAAACTGGCAATGTGGATGATGGAGACCTAGAAATAAATGATGAAGTAGAAGCTCTTCTAGAAAAGGAATATAGTCAAATTCCTGACACAAAGCCCTGTAAAGATGAAGAAAATGCTAAATCATCGCCTGTTCTCCAAAATAATGCCAATCAAAATTGTGATCCTGTACATTTAGAAAGGGGTAGTGCTTCCAGCTTATCTTCCCAATGCCCAAAGTATAGAAAATTCCAGAAAGCTTTTGGAAATGACAAAGTTAATACTTCAGAGTCCAGTTCCAGTATTAAAGACGTTCAGGTATCCCCATTTGCAACTTCTCTTGAGAAGGAAATACCTGATAATGATGGCATACAAAAAGCTCAGGAGTGTGTGCCTATGCAGCTGATCTCAAACTGTGAAGAGACTCAGGTAGAAATGGAGGAAGGGGAAGAAGGCATTCAGAAAAAAGAAGAGTCCAAGAGAGATTCTGTAACTCGGAATGTGTCATGTCCTGTGGAGCAAATGGATCTTGCTGCTTTCCCCCAAAACTCTGCTGCACCTCATGGACTCAGTTCTGTGTCTGTTTTACATAGTTGTGAGCAATATGGTAACTTGAATTTCAGTAGTATGCAAAACAGCACAGTCTTAGCTGAAAAAACTGTGTCAAGTACTGGAGCTGGAAATGACAAAACTGAAAGTCAAGGTAACCCGTCTTCAAAGGTGGATTTCTGCATTAGGGAAGCCACCAACATCACCTCAGCTGGAGATCGAAGCAGCGTGGAGAGAGAGATAGCAGAGCAGCTGGCCCAGGGCTTCTGGAGTGATGTTCCCAGCACAGATGCCTGTCAAGTACATTTACCACCTTCTAAAGAGTACTCAGAGCCCTCCTGCTCGGGGAAAAAGTCAGAGTGCCCGTGGCTGGGGATCAGGATCAGTGAAAGCCCTGAACCTTGCCCTCAGCGAACTTTTACAACACTGAATTCTGTCAATTGCCCCTTCATAAGCAACCTGAGCACTGAAGGATGCTCCAACAGCTCTGAAGTAAACAGTGGAGATTATGTTCAGGGACAGCAACAAGAACAGTGTCCCTATAACTATGTGATAAGTTTGGGAGAGGATTCAGAGACTGACACTGAGGGGGACAGTGAATCCTGTTCAGCAAGAGAACAAGAATGTGAGGTAAGAATATCCTGATGTATCCTTTGCTTCCCAGTCTTTTAAGGCCATATTAAAAAATCTGAGTTCTTCTGTGTTTTGTTGTTTTGGGGTTTTTTTCTGTGGCTGCTTGTTTTAAAAAGTCTGGAACTGAAACTTTAAATAACCATTCAGAGGTTTATATGGAAGGTGACTGTTAATTCAGGGAAACTGAATAAAAGTATGAAAGTATTTTTGGTCAGATACTGAAGTGTTAGATGCCTACATATTAGGTCTTTTAATGTTTTTCTGGAACAACTGTCAGAAAAGGTTGCAAGGCATGAAGGTTCATTCTTAGATTTTTTTTTTTCTTTTATCTGCTTCAGTTTAGAGTTTAAGAAAACTCTAAACTTGTTGGAACCTTTGTTTAATAGAAACTTGGAACCTTTGTTTTATAGAAATTTACCTGTTTTCTGAGCTGGGGGGTGGAGGTGAGAGAGAAATGATACTTCAGATTTAATGTGAAGTGACAATTAAGCTTTTAAGCTGGCTTCAGTAGCTGTAATAAGAAGGAGATATTATTATATCTCCTTCTCTAGCACTAAGTGATATACCTGGAACAATTTCCATCTCAGTTCTTAGAACCATGGAATTGCAGTGTAACTCTGCATGATGGATCATTCAATGTTACAGAAATTCGGTTGTTCTTAAAGCACTAAAGTTTTTGTCTTTCAAAATGCAGGGCCTTACTGAGACTGAACATAAGTGGAACATGCCATCAATACAAAATCAATGCAAAAAATCTGGAATGCTAAACAAAAGGCCAGAATTAGTTAAATACATTCCTCACCTTTATGTGACAGAGAAGGTGGTATCATTGTTGAGGACAGTACTCTGGGATTTTTTATTATTTTTTTGCCTGTTTGTCACCAGTAGTAGCCAATCAGAGAAAAGATTTCCCTGTGTTCTTTTTAAACTAAATTCAGATCTTTGGCCACAGCAAGGTGACATATTCTGCTACTTACTATACTCAAATGTAAGGATTAAAACAAAATGTCCTTAGTTGGATACTCAAGACCATAGTGATTATTTTGTAAAGGTAAATATGTTTTGCAGTGTTAGTCAACACTTTGTGATCTCAAATGCTTTTGTAGCTTGGGTGTATAACAGCAGCCAGAGCCTGGTCCTCGGTCTTCTCCAACACTAAAGAAATAAAAGACAAATATTATCATTTCTGTATTTTAAGGAAATGCCTGTTTCAGATGAACTTTTCCTGCAAAAAAAAAAAAAAAAAAAAAAAGCATAGGTATAAAAATGTATGCAGGATGCAGTCTTAATAGCAGCTTTGGGAAAACTTTAGACTATATTAGTGAGTGGTGACACCTGTTTTGTATCTCACCAAACTGTAACTCATCTTAGAGTGGATCACCTGCACATTTGATGCACACACAAGTAGCTTTCAGCCTACTCTGAATTTGCTTGTAAGGATCTCGTGTAAATGTGCAAATACTCTGTGGCACCTGTGCTTGAGCTCCTGTAGTGGGATCCTCTGGATTTATCCCATCATCTGGTGGTTGTGTTAGTTTGCTCTTGTCTCTGAGGTGTAGGAATAAAGATGAGTTGTGTGGTAAAGAATGCTTAAAATGGAAATTTGAGTTGTTGGTGTTTGTGTATATCAGTTGCACCTTGGACTTACAGCTGTGTCTCACATTCTAGGTAAAACTGCCGTTTAATGCACAAAGGATTATCTCACTTTCCAGAAATGACTTCCAGTCGTTTCTGAAAATGCATAAATTAACTCCTGAACAATTGGACTGTATTCACGACATCCGAAGACGAAGCAAAAACAGAATTGCAGCGCAGCGATGTCGCAAGAGAAAACTGGACTGTATACAAAATCTTGAATCTGAAATTGAAAAACTGGTATGTATAAATACTCATTGCTCTTGTCATGTCTTTCTCTAAACATCTTGACTGCCTATCTGGCAGTAGCTTGAGAATGGGGTGATTTACTGCTTTTTCCACTCAAGCTTAAACTTTTATCAGTCTTATATAAAACTACTTGATTGCAGTTCTAGATTTTTCTGAGCCTTGCTCTAAAGTACACACATCTTTCCTTCTCTGGACTTGTTTCCATTCAAATAAAATCTGCATCACAGCATAATTTTTGGTGAATGGTGTTTCTGAAACCCATAAGCTTTGAATTGAATTGTACAGAATGATTCCCAGACTCTTATCCTACACTGCTTTTTGCCTCTTCCCCTTTCTTGCTGCAAGATTTTGTTCCTCAGCTCCTGGTATTGCTCATGATCAAGTGTGTGGTTACGCAATTGTCAGTTGTGTAAGTTCTGTTCTTGGAACACACCAACATGGGCTGGCAAACTGTTTCCTGAGTCTTGGATGTTAAAAATGAGACCCTTGCAGAAAGGCAGAAGATACAGAAGAACTTGGGAAGTTGCTTGCCTTTTTAGCAGTTGCATCAAGATTGTAACTGAGGAATTGATGCAGCCAGATTTCTCAGCAGCCATCTGTTAATATATTTTTTCCTCCTTAAGAAGGCAATAAAAGGATAAATAAGTAACTTAAGAGAAATGTAGGTAATCTGAGGTTAAGATTATGTAAAAATAACAATGGCAAGAAGATAATTGAGTGGCTTTTCAGAAAAACAAGTCTTTGTTTGATTCTCATCTCAGTTTCATAGTTGGTCATAACGGTGTGCACAAAACAGTTCAGTTGTTTAGGATTACTGTACTCTCACTCTTGTCCATGGAGCATTTTAGTCTTGGTTACCTGAATTTGGTATCTGCATCAGCTGGAGCATAGCAGTTATGTTGCATCTTTTTTGACTTCAGATTGAAAAGGAAAGTAAAATTAGAGCCAGGTGCCACGTACTGGGAACTTATTTTCTTGTGATCAGCATCTTTCACTGCATCTACTCCTACTTCTGCAGTGAGGAGATGGGCTTTGAAGGAAGGCTTGCAGTGCCATAGAGCTCTGATAAGCTGACAGAGCAGGTTGTGCTCAATGAAGAAGGTGCTCTCTGAGGGAGGGTAATCAGGTGATTGTACTAATAATATCTTTACTGATGAGAGAAGTTGCATTTCTGACATTTCAGAACTTTTTGCCTGGTTTTGTCATCATGTTGTCATTTCTGTTATGTAACTCTGTCAATATTTTGCAATACTTGGGCAGGGAATTAAAGGTTGATCTGCAAGATTAGGCATGTGGCTGTTTGAGACTAATAATTATAACATAATATCCTTCTTTCTGTGGCCCTGTGCTGGAACAGACTGAATGTCTGCTGTTTGACAGGTAACACTGTGCAAGGCCTAGATAGTAAGTGTTGAGTCTTGAGAACTGTGAGGTTGGGTCTGAGTTATATGAATCATCCTCTAGGCACAAACATGTTCCAGTTGCATATGTTCTTTTCAACTGTGCTGAAAGTTTCTTCAGAAATTCCTGGAAAGACTCTGTTTGGAGGTGTTGACCATGCCTGACAGATCATCAAATTTGTATCAGGTGTACACAAATACAGAAACACCAAGATCTGTCCAGGCATGACTTCCAGGTGGATGGAAGAAAAGAGATGCCATGGAGGGGCTATGTGTGGTACATCCAGGTTGCTTCAGGCATGATGGCTCCTCCTTGTTCCTGTTCTCTGTGTCAGTCATGTCTCAGACCTTTTAGACTTTGATCTTCTCATGGTATCATCTGTAATGCAGCTTTGAGAGGGAATAGAATGGTGTAGCTATAGTTTGACAGCTCTTGACAAGCAGATAATACTCTGTGCTACCAGTTAGGAAATACTTTTTCGTGGAATTCCTCATCCTGGTTTTCAGTATGTGCAACATGTTGTCTTGTATTAGTTTCTATTTGGTGCTGCTTCAGCTTTTTCTCTCTCAGAAGAAGCTTGTGGTGTGTTTCTTGGAAAAGTCCTATATTTGGAACAGAGTGACCCCTGCCTGACTAGAGGCTGGAGACTGACAGCTGGCAAGTAGCTTTGCTGACAGGCACCTTGGGGCCTGGGCAGACAGCAGGCTGGGCATGGATCAGCAGCATGTCCAGACTGGAAAAAAGGCCCTCAGTGTCCTGGGCTGTGTTAGCAGCAGTGCAGCCCCTTGTTGGAGGGCAGTGGTTGTTTCCTGTCTTGGCACCTGTAACACTGAATTGTTTGCTGGGTCTTCACCCCTCCCAGTTCCAGGAGCACATTGACAGGCAGAAGGAGGGTTGGGTGAAGGCCATTGGGATGGCCAGGCCTGAGGTACTTCTGGGGTGAGAGGCTGAAGAAATGGGGCTTCTACCTGGAAAAGGGGTGGGGAGACCTCATGGCTGCCTGCTCATATCTGTGGGGCAGTCCTTGAGCTTATACAGCCTTTGGTAGGGGGAGATCTTCAGCTTCCTGGGAGAGCACCTGGCAGCAAGAGAACAAGAGACATGGTCTTAAATTGCAAAGGGGATTTCATCTGAGTGTAAGGAAAGTTTCTTCCTCCACAGGCAGGCAGTGGAGCAGTTCACCCTGGAAGGCTGTGCATGTGCTGTCTTTGAGGGTTTTATGGCATGACTGAGCCAAGCCCTGAGCAGCCTGATCTTACCTGATCTCTGACTTTGTTCTGAGCAGCAGGTCCCAAGTGATTCTGTAAAACTGGAAATCTTATGTTAAGTTCTACTTATATTAAAGAAAAATATTGTTCAGTGCTGAATCTGTTATCTGGCAAAGTTACTTTTGATCATGTCTTTTGATCTTCTATACTGATAAAGTCATTTTTTTACCTCCCCATATAGCCTTTGCTTATTGACCTTCCAAGAATCTGGGTGTTCTTGTTGGTCACTAATGTTCTGTATTTGAGAGCATGCAAGGGTTACTCTAGGATATGTTGACTTGTTAGAAACAGCTCTTTCAGAGCCCTGTGTATGTTCACATTCCTTGTACTTTCTCCTGGACAATGGGATGACCCTGCCTGAGCAGGGAGGTCAGACCAGATCACCCACTGTGGTCCCTTCCAACCTGACCCATCCTTGGATTTTTCACTTGGAAACTTTTAAAATGAGGGCAGTTGTGAGGGGGAGCAGAGTAGAGGACAACTGGTCTCCAGAAGAAGATTCTGTAGCTGGGGAGGATGTGCAGTGCTCCAAGAAAAATGTACTTGAGATCTTGTTATATATATTATAGCAGGGTGAGATGGGTGAACTAAGTACATTCTTTACCAGGAGATTCAAAAGAGTTCTCAGTTTATTATGACCTCAAAACTAACTGACATTTTTTGTAGTATTAGTATAATGCTGATAAAATAAAACAATAATATTTAAATGTATTAACCTGTCAACAGCTTCAGAAGGGGGTGAGGAATTGATGCTGGAATAACTATTTCTGAATGTTCATGTTTGTTTTAAATAGCAGTCCAGATAATTTCATCAGTCCATAATACACAACTGAGTGCCTCTAATACCCAAAAGGTATTAGATGATCTGCCTAACAGAATGGGAAAGATTATTCTGATCAGTATTGAAAAACACCTGGAGCACAATGCAGGGATCAGTCACAACCAGCACAGCTCCATGAGGGGAAAGTCCTGCTTGTCAAAACTGATTTCCTTGTATGACAGGGTGATCTAGGGAAGCCAGTAGGTGTGATCCTCTTGGACTTCACCAGAGCTTTGGACAGGCTCTCCCAGGATCCCTCTGAACAAAATGTCCAGCCCACAGCTGGGTGAACACATCATGTGGGGGAGAGCAGCTGGGTCCTGGGTCAGGAACAAATGGTGACAGTGCCTGGGTGACATCAGTGGGGTTCTGCAGGGCTGCACCCTGAGCCCTGTGCTCCTCACCCCCTTCATGAACAGCCTGCACACAGCACTCAGTGGAGCACACCCTGAGTTTGCCATTGGCACTAAACTGGGAGGAGCTGTCAGCTCCCTCAAGGGCAGAGAGGCCCTGCAGAGAGACCTGGACCGCCTGGAGACTTGGGCAGTCACCAGCCATGTGAGGTTTAACGAGGGCAAGAGCCACATTCTGCTCTGGGGCAGGGCAGCCCTGGCTGTGAGCATGGGCTGGGGAACAGGAGAGCAGCTGCAGAAAGGGACCTGGGGCTCTGGTCCATGGCCAGCTGAACAGGAGTCAGCAGTGCCCTGGCAGCCAGGAGGGACATCCATGTCCTGGGGGCATCAGGGACAGCATGGCCAGCCAGGCAGGAGGGGACATTGTCCTCTCTGCTCTGCTCTGGGGCAGCCTCACCTCGAGTGCTGGGGCAGGCTTGGGCACCATGGCTTAAAAATGGCATTGAGCCATTGGAGAGCATCCAGAGAAGGGTCACGAGGATGAGGAAGGGTCTGGAGGGAGGAAATCTTATGATAGGTGACTGTGGGCATTTGGTCTGTTCAGTCTGGAGAAAAGGAGGCTGAGGGGAGACCTCATTGAGGTCTTCAGCATCCTCTGCAGGGGCAGGTGCCAAGATCTTTGTGACCAGTGACAAGGGCTCAAGGAAGCAGCATAAAGCCCAGTCATGGAAGGTTTAGGCTCCCCATAGGGTGGTTGGACACTGGAACAGGCTCCCCAGGGCAGTGGTCACAGCACCAAGCCTGACAGAGTTCAAGAAGCATTTGGACAAAGTTCTCAGCACAGGGTGTGACTCCTGAGGTGTCTTGTGCAGCCCAGGAGTTGGACTCAGTGACCCTGATGGCTCCTTTCCAGTGTGGCAGATTTTATGGTTAACAGCTGCTCCCAGTATGCTGACAAATAGAAATTTATTAGCCAAGTCCTCTTTCTTCTAATTTTAGACAAAAAGAACTGGTAACAACTGTTCCTCTTGCCAAATGTTGCCTAAACTTAATCAGTTCTTTCAAAAAGAAGTTGTAGAGGTTGCAGTATGAGGTTTCTCTGCAAAAGGGGATATGAGGAGGAGTGAAAATATAAAAATTTCCAAGAGTGAATTGACATAACAGTAGCTATGTAACACATAGTCCCTATGATTAAAACTTGAAAACTATTTAAAGCCTTATATATCTTAAAAACTCTATCTTCTTTTAATTAATTAATTACAGAATTTAAAATGTATGTGTTGTGACGTGTTTGGATTCAGGTTCTTTGTCCTTTTCATTCAACTTCTTCATGACGGTCTTGGTTGTTTCCTGTCCTTTGTCATTTCATCATTTGTCTTTATTCAAAAAGTTGTTTGTTACCATGATTAGACTTCTTAGTTATCAGTGTCTTTTCATCTTTAGCCAGTTCTATCAGAAGCCTCAGAAAAATTCACAACATTGAAGCCAAATAAAAGCTTGATTTAATACAGGCTACATTTTTCTACTTGATATTTATTATTGAGTTGCCATTCTGTTTGTTGCCATGTGCATGAACAATCCTGCTACGTTATCTCAAGGTTGTTAGTTGTTCACCACATCTTTTTTCCTTTACCCTTCCTAAATTTTCTATCCATTTTAGGAACTATACTTAGCTCCATTGTTTGTAGTGGGTTTGGCACTTCTTGAGAATAGAAGTTACTTTCACCTAGTGGAATAGTATCAATAGTTAAAATGTGATGCTTGATTTTTCAGCATTTCAATTTTTTAAAATATGGATCTCTATGAAGATTGCTTAATGTTTTGTTGGCTCATTGGTAATGGTTTGTGTTTTCCTGTAGAACTAGTGTTTCAGGAATATTTACAGTAAGTGCAGCTATGTTTCATTTGCTCAATAACTACAAATTACTCCTTTGTCTGCCAGTATGAGCTTGGAAAAAGCTGCATATCTGAAAAACCACATCAAATACCATACCTGATGGTGCTTCCAGAGAGGTTAAGATTGGGCTTTTGATATGTGTTTGATTGTGTTGTTGCTTTCTTTCTTAATGCCAAATTACTTCTGTTTCAGCAGACCAGAGTATTTAAAGTCTTGTTTTAGCTTTGCTAGGAGCATAAACCATAGTTCTTATGTTGAAATGTAGACTAAATTACTGTTTTTCTTTTTGCAGCAAAATGAGAAGGAGAATTTGCTGAAGGAAAGAAACCACATTTTATCAACTCTGGGTGAGACAAAGCAGAATCTGACTGGACTTTGCCAGCAGGTGTGTAAGGAAGCAGCCTTGAGTCAAGAGCAAATACAAATACTTGCAAAATATTCTTCCTCAGATTGTCCACTCTCATTTTTGTTCCCAAAAAGAGAACAAACAGCTCCATCTGATAGTGAGCTTGTGGTACCAGCATCTGTAGAATCAGCAAATGGTCTTTCAGGTGTCACCCCCACAGCTGAGCAGAGTTCCTGTTACCAGTGTGTCAAAAGCGTGTGTGAGGCCACGTACGACCAAGGCCAAGAACTGCACCCGGTTCCTGCCAGAACATTGGAGCAAACATCACTCCTGGAGCCCTGTGGGCAGAGCAGCGGCATCACAGACTTCTGCCAGCAAATGACTGACAAATGCACTACAGATGAATGAATCTCTCCTTCCCATTGCCAGCCTCTCAACTTTGCAACTGGAAGTTGAGCATTATTGGAATGTAACTTACTGAGTGAGAGAGAAGATAGAAGTTTAATCTTTTGAAACTGTATTGACAATTACATGGTCACCATTGGCAAGCTTTGGGTTTGTTCTGTGTAGTTCCAGAAGGTAATTTGTATGTGTCAGCCTTGGAGCTTTTTCTGTGTGGTGATGCCAAGGAGGGTTCGGGAAAGCTGTTGGAAAGTACAAATTCCATGCACAGGTGCTTATTTGTGAGGAAGTTTTGTTCATGTATAGAGCAGCCTACTCTGATTTATGCCACAGTACTTAATGCCACTCTGCATTTTAAGGGAAGCCTCCTGACAGCTGTTTATGCACAATGACTTCTGTACCTGGAATTCTTTTAAGATTTCTTTTTTCCTGGTAGACAAACCTTAAGAAGCATACATAGCTCTGTAAATGTTCATTTTGTAGAGGGGCTGAGTTACATGGCAGGATGAAGAGATTTTGAGAAGTGCACTCTGGTATAGCTCCTTCCTTCCTGCTGTTCCTCTCCCCGTCCCAGAGAAGGCTAAATTAAAGTAGTAAGCTGCTACTACTGGTAGTAGAATTGGTTAGTAGTAGGCTTTTATTGGATAAGTGGTTTTGTCTTGTCACTCTAGTCCAGAATTAAAAGAACTGGAGCAGCAGAGATGCTGCCACATTCTGCTCTATTCTATAAATTTAGTGGGAGGAATAACAACACGCTGTGGAAGGCAGAGATCTGAAACTGGTGCATTCTTGGATGAGTGTGCATTGGGTCCTCTGGCATCTGAATCCCATAGGCTTGTTAAAACTCACAGCTGTATTGGGACTTCCTGTCCTAGCACCTTCAGGCTTGCTGCTTCTTTGTGGCAAGTTGGAATCTAAGTATTGTGAAAGTCTAAGAACAGACTCTTTTTTTTTAAGGTATTCAGGCCACATTATTTTTTTCTTTCAGTGCCTAACTGCCTAAAGTTACAAATATTTGTTCTCTGATCACTGGGACCAGTAAAGTTCTATTTCAGAATCAATCTTCAGGATACTTTATGGCTAAACCTGTAGTATATTTTCAATGGCTTGTGCTATTAGCATAGATATATAAAAAGTTTATTGAAGAAATGAGCTGGAGATATTTCCTTTATTACTTTGTGAAGGAGAAATTCAGCTGCTGAAAATAATCCCCATTTTCTAGATTTTTACCTAGCAGTGGATGCATATTGTATACCAATGATGCTTTGTTATTTAGATGCTATTCTCACACCAGAACTAAGTATTGAACCTCACCACAGAAAACTTTGGGTTTGCTGGTTTACAAAACATGAAGAATCTTGTACAAGCCAGTGGAATTCTTCATTTCCTACCTCAGAATGTGTTTTAGCTTTTTGTGTCTTTGTGTGCATGTACAGTAGGCAGCAACTAAGCAATGGCCCTTGTAAATACTGCTTTTCAGTTTTACCTTGCAGCAAGGCACAACTTGCTCTTGGCAAGGCTCTTCTTTTTCCTCTCCCCACCATCCATAGGTAACATAGCATTAATAAATACAGTAAGCCACTTATTTAAAGCAAAAATTTAAAATTACCAGATTTCAACAGGACTTCTCATAACCAGCACGCAACACAAATGACTACACTACCTCACCTATGGGACTGAAAGTTGATTCAAATCTCTGGTGAATCCTTGGATTTTCATCATATACCATTACTTTTTTAAGGGAAAAAATATGCTGATGCCTCCTAGCTTGTATAAATCACAGTGCTTGCAGTAATTGAAATTCAGAAATAAATACTACATGGCAGACATCATGATAATTGGATTGAAATTCTTTTAAAATGACATAATTGAGATATGATGATTCTGGATATGTATTACTTTATGAAGCTCTCTGGGCTTTTTCTTCAGTTTCTGTAGATTCCTGGTTAATTTAATCCTGTCTCCCTCCCATGCTGCCACCCTGGGAAGCATTTTGCTCTTATCGCTCCATTTTGTTTAAAAAGCAAAGCAACAAGAAACAATAAAAAACAAAATTCAAAGCCCAAACCTCTACTGTTGATAACTACTATCACTTTTAAAGCTGGTGATATTCTGAAATGACGTGGACAATGGCATTGAAACATTGTCCTAATAGTGCACATAGTTGGCCATGGAATTCCTTGGGGTCAGTCCTTATTCTGACGAGGTGGAGCATCTTTGTAGGGAATGGCTGTCTGGGAGCTTCTCCAGTGGCCCAAAGCCCTGACACACTTGGCTGCAGATGTTGGCAAACAAGGTCAGTGATGAGCAAGTGTGAGGCTGGAATATCCCTGAAGAGTTGTGCTCCACTCTGGAGTCTGGGCATCAGCCACAGCCTGAATTCCATAGAGCTGATGGTGGAGGGATTCCAGGGCAGGAATCATGGCAGTCATTGACCTATGATAAAAGTGACATCATGTTTTTAAACCTGATAGGAACTTGATGAAGTTTGAGGGTAGGATTTTGCCTGACCAGCTGCATCTAAGTAATTTTAAAAATATTTATTTAATACCATAGACCTACAAGTTGCATGTTGACTTCTCTAAGCCTATATCATCAACTTGCAAATGTTACGAATGAATGACAATTTTATGATACAGAATTCTCAGGAAAATGTTTTTGGAGTTTGGTTTTATTTTTTTCTCTTCCGGTAAAGAAATACTCGTTTTTGAAATTGTAAAATACTTTGTTAAAGCATGTTTTAAAGTACTTTGAACAGACTATCTTAAAGCCATATGGGTATGATGGCGTACAGATTGTAAAATAAACAGATAATTACAACAGTTGATTTTGTATTTTTCATAATTCAGTATTTTCTAAATCTGCAATAAAAACCACTATCCTTTCTACAAAGGCTTTTCTATTTTGTGTAAGTTTTCTGCTGTGAAAGTCTCTACTGGTGCATTATTCATTTATGTAGTGCTTATCAAACAATTGTGAAAATGGTAGCAAATTAGTCTCTATATAGTTTATAAATTTAATAGGCTTAGCTTAGGATTCTTCAGACAAAGCTGAAATCTACAGAGAGAGGTAATTTTACCACAGTTGGGTATCTACTAAATTGCTCATGATATTTCCTCAGTAGTGTGTATTTTGTTCTATTGATTTTCTTTTTTAATTGCATATTCTTAAATACGTGATTATTCTTCTCAACCTACTGAAGATTAAATTTGCCATGTGGACGACCTGCTGTTTCATATGAATGACAGAGCCAAGGTAGGCAGAATTTAAAATAAAAGCCCTAAAAATGGTTAACAAATAAGTAATTACTGAGAATAATATAGCAATACAAGTAAGTTGAATATATCTTGTTAACTTGAGAAATAACATTTGAGGCTTTCTTGGTATATGTTAATAGTCTAGTAAAAATTCAGTATGATACTTTAACAAGGTTTCCAATTTTTTTATAGTCTACTATTTCATGTTTACTGTGGAAGAGGAGGAGATGGAAGTGAGAGATTTGGGAAGAAACAAGACTCAGTAATCAAAATAGCACCCCAGAATGTGTATATATTCAACTTAAATAACTTGTTGAAGGCCATAAGCCTCAAGCTTTCAGGTAAACTGGCATGATTTTGTTTAGAAGTATTTGGTGATGAGAGAGACTCAACATTTCTAAGTCATATTGCAATTTTATTTCTCATCCCAGTGGTGATAAATCAGACTATACATTTCATGTCAGCCTGGCAACATTTGGGACTTTTTTAGGCAATGACCTAGGAAATAAGAAGGATTTTCAGTGAACAGCCTCTATTGGTCCCGAGTTTTCATTGCTGTTACTCTGACTCTTGTTAAAAATACACTTGATTTGCTTTAATACAGGATCCACTGAAGTCCTTCAGATGGAGCCCCATGAGGTTGCACTTACACAGGTCTGTCAGGTACTTTTAGGTGGCAGTGAAAATTTAATTTAAATAATTTAAATTAATAACACCGTTGGTTGGTATTGTTACATAATTGCTTGTTGTAATTGTAACTACCCGTATTTACAACATTTACTTGAATGCAGAATAATCAGCTACCAACTGTGTGAAATTATTATTCTTAACAAAGTAGAAGGTTAAAAAGCAGGGGACAGGTGCAGGGATAAAAGACAACAGAAGTCACAGAATCCCCAGAGTGGATTAATAGCAGGCCATGGGAGTCTGGGGAGTGTCACTGACAGCTGTCTGTTGGGCTGGTCCATTTTTCACATGTGGTGTGTGAATGTAGGAATCTTAAAGGGTACATAGAATTTTCAGACTCTTATTCTGATCTCTGAAGTTAATCAGTCCTGCTTACCCATAAAACCATGAAAATTTGCTAACCTGCATCTATCCAGATGTTATCCCAAAAATCCTATGGATCTATTATTGTTATTGTTGAAAATCTGTCCTGTGAATTGTTTCACAGGCTTTTTTAAGGACTTAAAAAACACTGACAATTTCTGTGCTTTTATGTCTTTCCTTTTTCCTCCCTCTACAAGAATTAGAGTAAACCTTTTTACATGCAAATCAAAACAGTGGATGAAGGACTGAATGAGATTCTGTGCTTTGTGTTATACAGAATACCAGAATTTGTCGTGGTCTTCTCAGTTATAAAAATCTACTATGTCAGCTTTGTGGTGGACTAACAAGACTTCAAATTCTTACAGAGAAATTTCCAACCAGTTCTTTACATTGAACTGTTTGGAAATTTCAGAGTAATGGGCAACAACAGAACTGTGTGAGGGGAGGTTCTTTTGCAGGCTTTGTCCTTTGATATTTCCCTTCTGCTGCATCCCAGGCTGACAGGAATTGTGTAGTGCAGACCTGCCAGTTCAGAGCAATAGATTTTAAGTAAAATAAGTATTGAGGCTTGTATGCCCTTAGATTTGTCATCAGAGGGGGTGTGCCTGTTCAAACCAGCTCTCACCATCCATCTCTAGCAGTGCATTAAGGGCAGAGCTGGGAGCTGTCTCTCCCCTAAAAGGCAGAGCATCTGTGTTGACCTCAAAAAGGAAGATTTTGTGAATGTGTGTGACTCCCTTTGTGAACTCTCCACATTTTCATGCAGTACCATGCAGCTCTGAGTTTCTAGGTTTGTAGAAG